CCTACAGAAAATATTACCATTGAAATAAGTGCCAAATAATTAGTCCTTGCCTATTATTTCATGAAAGAAATATGTTTTCAGCACTGTATAGACGCAAGATAGATTCTCTTTACATGTATATGCATATTCTCCACATTAGCTTCAGGATCCTTAAGTAATCAGGTTTAAGAGATAACATAACCATGTATGGCATTTCAAACACAATTTAGAAATCAAATGGTGAAGTGTAGGGCTGTCGATTTAATTGCAACTAACTCATGCGATTGATTAAAAAACATGAATTGCAATTAATCCTATTGTTAAACAATAAAATACCAATTGAAGTGCATAAATATTTTTGGATGTTTTCTACATTTTCAAAATGTATTTCAATTACAACATAGACTACACTATCTATAGTGCTCACTTTTTTTATTACAAATATTTGCACTGTAAAAGTGATTTAAAAAATTCAGTTCACCTCTTACAAGTACTAACATGCAATCACTTTATCATAAAAATGTATCTTACAAATGTAGAATATTCTTGAACTGCACTCAAAACCAAAATAATGTACAACTGTAGAGTCTACAAGTCCACTCAGGCTTATTTCATGCTCTGCTGATCGCTAAGACAAACAAATTTGTTTATATTGATGGGAAATACAGCTGCCTGCTTCTCATTGATGTTACCAGAAAGTGAGAACAGGTGTTGACATAGCACTTTTGTATGCTATGCAAGGTATTTACTGCCAGATATGCTAAACATTTGTATGCCCCTTCATGCGTTACCCACTTATCCAAAGGAGACACTTCCATACAGATGACAATCATTAACAATAATGTGCCAATTTAAATTTGAGGCTGAATTCCTTGGGGGCAGAATTATGTCACATGCCCTGTCTTACCTCTCTTCTACCAGCTATTATGTGTTCTAGCAGTTTTGGATGACCCCCACTTTTTCATTTTAAGAACATTTTCACAACAGATTTGACAAAGTACAAAGAAAGTACCAACATGAGATTTCTAAAAAATAGCTACAGCACTTGTCCCTAGGCTTAAGAATTTGAATTATTGTCCAAAATCTGAGAGGGGCGAGGCATGGAGCATGCTTTCAGAAGTCTTTACAGAGTAACACTCTCTGGGTTCTGTTGGTTTTGCATCAAACTATCAAAAAAATCAGTCTTCTGCTGGTGGCATCTCACTCAGATGATGAAAATGAACATGCATCAGTCTGCACTACTTTGGGTCGTTATCAAGCAGAAGCCATCATGTATGCATGTCCTCTGGAATAGCATTTGAAGCATGAAAGGACATATGAATCTTTAGTACATCTTTCCCATAAATACTTTGCAACACCAGCTCCAATGCATGTTCTGACTTCCACATGACACTGTAAACAAGAAGCAGGCAACATTGTATCCTGCAAATTGTAACCAAACTTGAGTGATTTGGTTCAATAAGATGTAGGACACAATTCTACATTTGTAAGTTCAACTTTTATGATAAAGAGACTGTACTGCAGTATTTTAAGCTAAATTGAATAATATAATATTTTTTACAGTGCAAATATGTGTAATCAAATATAAATATGTGCCCATTATACTCTTGGTTTTCTGTTTTGTAATTTAAATCAATACATTTAAAAATGTAGAAAACATCCAATAATATTAAAATGAATAAACTCCAAAAAACAATAAATAGTCTGGTAGCACTTTAAAGGCTAACAAAACATGTAGATGGTGTCATAAGCTTTCGTGGGCACAGCCCACTTCTTCAGATGATAAGTGTTGGCTGTCCAGAGCCAAAAATAAATAGGGAAGAAGGGGGGAGAGGGGAAAAATGAGATGGGGGTGGGGGGTCAAAAAGGCAGTGGGTATATAAATACCGAAGAGAAAGTGGAGCTAGTATGTAATAGGCAAAACTGATCCTCTATAAGCATCTGAAGACTGGATAGTTAAAAGAAACAGATAAGAACCATTAGTTAGCAATTAGAGAGGAAGAGTACTAACACCAGATTCTACACAAAGAACCACTGACACCTTCGTTGGTTGGTTGATAATGTCCCAGCCATCTGGTATCTCGATTCAGATTACTGGCATGAAATTTAAACTTGTGACTGAATTGTAGTTCCAACCTTCCTTGTGTACCTGGCTCATGGAATTGGTCTGTAACAAAGCAGCAACTTGAAGATCTCTTAATGAATGACCAGGCAGATTAAAGTGTTCACCCACAGGTTTCTGTATGTTTCTTTTATGGATATCTGATTTGTGTCCATTGATTCTTTCCCGTAGGGACTGTCCAGTTTATCCAATATCTATTGCAGTGGGGCATTGCTGGCATTTGATGGCATATATCACATTACTGCATGTGCAGTTAAATGAGCCTCTGATTTGGTGGCTGATGTAGTTGGGTCCAGTGATGAATTTGCTTGTATAGATATGTGGGCAGAGTTGGCACTGGGGCTGATTGCAAGGCTGGGTCCCTGGATGCTTATGATGTAGCTGTGTAGTGTGGTTTCCAGATTTTTTTTTTTCAGGTTGGGGGGTTGTCAGTAAGCAAGAATAGGCCTTTTCCTCCAAGGCCTCTGAGAGTGAGGGGTCATTTTCCAAGATAGGTTGTAGATTGTGGATAATGCGTTGAAGAGGTTTGAGTTGTGGACTATAGGTAATGACAAGTGGAATTCTGTTCTTTTCTCTTTTGGGTCTGTCTTGAAGTAGTTCATGTCTGGATACTTTTTTGGCTCTGTCAGTCTGTTTTTGCACTTCTCCAGGTGGGTATTTCAGTTTTTAGGAACACTCTATATAGATCCTGTAGGTGTTTGTCTCTGTCTGTGGAATCGGAGCAAATCCGGTTATATCTTAGGGCTTGGCTATATACAATAGATTGAGAAATCTGTCTCGGGTGGAAGCTGGAGGCATGAAAGTGAGTCTAGTGGTTGGTAGGTTTTCAGTATATGGTGGTAGAAATTTGCCCATCGTTTAATTGTAGTGTCAAGGAAGTGGATTTCTTGTGTGGACTGGTCCACGCTGAGGTTGATGGTAGCGGTCAAAATTGTTGAAATACTTGTGAAATTCTTCAAGAGTCTCTTTTCTGTGGGTCCATATGATGTCATCAATGTAGCGTAAGTAGAGTAAGGGTGTTAGGAGGCAAGAGCTGAGGAAACATTGTTCATGGTCAGCCATGAAGATGCCCATAGCTATTCCACTGACTTGAAGATACAGATTATCTCCGAATTGGAAGCACTTGTGGATGAGGCCAAAGTCGCAGAGCTTTGTAATCAGGTGTGCAATGCTGTTATCGGGGATGGTGTTCCTCATGACCTGTAATCAATCTTCATGTGGAATGTTGGTGTAAAAGGCTTCTACATCCATAGTGACCAGGATGGTATTTTCAGATAGATTACTGATGTTTTGAAGTTTCCTCAGGAAGTCAGTGGTATCGCAGAGATAGCTAGCAGTGCTGGTAGCATAGGTTCTGAGGAGGGAGTCAATATAGCCAGATAATCCTGTGGTGAGTGTGCGAATGCTTTAGATGATGGGTCGTCTGGGATTTCCAGGTTTCTGTATCTTGGGTAGCAGATAGAAAGCTCCTGGTCAGAGATAAGGGTGGGCGTTAATGTATATTTGGTCCTGAGCCGCATGAGGGAGCTTCATGAGCAGTTTTCAGGTTTTTTTGGTATTCTTTAGTGGGATCACAGGAGAGAAGCTTGTAGAATCTGGTGTTGGTGAGTTGTCTGGTCACCTCCTGTTCGTGATCTGTTCTGTCATGATGATTACAGCCGCCCCCTTTGTCAGCCTCCTTGATTATGAAGTTAGGATTGTTTTTGAGGCTATTGCATTGTGTTTTTGAGGTATTGCATTATGTTCTACATGACTCAGGTTATACGTTATATGTTGTTTGCTGAGATGGTTAGCTCGAGCATGTTTGCAGAAGTAATCGATGTAGAAATCAAGGCTCTCATTGCGACCGTTAGTAGGCTCCACATAGAAGCCATCCTCTTGTGGGATTGGCTGGGGAGGTGGGGGGAGGGAGGGAGGAGAAGCATTCTATTTGTTTAACAACGCAATTTAATTTTTAATAGCTTGACATGGAAAGTGAAATGTGCTTCTTTTGTCTGAAATGTTATCCCATGGTCTCTGTGGTATAATTGTATCTGTATACTATGACAAGTTGTGCTTATCTTCAATTCTTTATATATTTTATTCAGTTGGAGATCCATTATAGATCATCTTCTAACACATGAGAAAACTATGTTTAAAGATTTGATGAGTAAGTATTCTTTGCTGAATTACTGCTACAATAATTAGGAATTCATATTTTGCTGAGTTCTCAAACATTTTGTCTTCAATATTAAATTAAAGACATAAAATATTAACTTCAGTGCATTTTCACAATCCATAATATTACCAACCGTAACTAGTTATAGTTAAATAATTTATTCCTGGAAATCCTTCTCTGTTAACATGCTCAAAAGGGCACAGAAGGAGTACCTTGTTTGGAAGTCATTCTAAAATTTCTTTTTTCATAAATGGAGATAATTTTATAACAAACTAGGATTTCTACAGACAGCCCTAGAGCACTCAGAGTTGGCACCTATGCCCTTTACACCCCAAATCCTCATTCTCCAAGCTCAACCAAAGTATGGGACAATGGAGATGCTGATCAAAGTGCAGTCTCCAACTCTGAGGGAGGACAAGAGAAAATCCCTAAAACATACCTGCAAATTGAGGAGAGGATACTATGGTTTCTGTATTCCATATAGTACTCACACCATTTTAAAAATGTCTTTATAAAGCGTGAGATATAAAGTGTGACTGGTTTTGGCCCCCTTTGGTACTGTCACCTGATGTGCTGAGATCCTACTGAGCCTGTTTTCCCTGCCAGCTTGGGTCCCCAGTACCCTGTCTTGTTGAGTCAGACATATTAGCCTGCTGCAACATGGATGCAAAGTCTGGACCAGGCCCACAAAGCTGCAGAGCTTAACTGAGACCAGCCCAGTGAGATACTTGTCTGAAGCACTTATACCCAGCCTCTCTAAAAGCCAAAGCCCTACATAAATCTGTCTTATTCTGGATAGGGGTCTGGACAGCATGAGCTCATGAAACTTACCCTCTTTTTCAATGTAAAGAGAGAGATGCACAAACTCCTCCCCCTCCTCCCCAGAGCAATTATTTACGCTGGATTTATTAATAAATAAAAGGGATTTTATTAAGTATAAGAGCTAGGATTCAAGTGATCTGACCAGGGGAGGAAGGGGGCAACTGCCCTGAGACACGGAGGTTTTAAAAAGGCCCTGGGGCTTCCAGGGGCTAGCACTGCTGCAGCAGCACATGCCATGGTGGAGCCCCAGTCCCTTTCAATTGCCACTAGAGCCCTGGGTGACGCACACTGAGCAGCACTGAAGGGCTGGCTGGTGAAGGCTAGCCCCTAGCCTTGCTTCTTCTGGAGGCCTGGAGCAGGGCCGGCTCCAAGCCATTACTGCACGCCAGGCAGCAAGTGCGCGACGCATGTGCGGCTCTTCCCCCAGGCACACGGCACATGCGTGGCCCCACCCCCCGGCGCACTGCGCCCCTTACAGCTCCCATCAGGCGCCCCCCCCTTAATCCGGCCCTGGCCTGGAGCTGGCTCTTCCCACCTTCTCAAGGATCAACAAAGTCTGTGGACCGCCGTAAGAGCACACAGAACAATGTAGGTTACTAAACGAAACCAAACACACAAGTAAAGCTTAATGCACTAAAACAGTGTTTCTCAACCTGTTTTTTATAATGTACCCTTTTAAAAAAATTACAAGTCCCCTCCCCCCCGACCTAGTTTTCAGACACACGCAATTTTTTTTCTACCATTGCAATGCATTTGTTTAAACAACTTAATCGTAGCCGGGCGGGCAATGAAATTTTTGGGTGTAAAAAGTACAAAAATTATAAAGTGCTGTAAAACTTAAAACAAATTCATTTTCTCCAAATTTCGGTTGTGTTAACGTGCCCCCCAGACTTCTCTCGAGTACCCCTAAGGTTACTAAAAACACTGGACACATGTAATATCTCACTCTCAAAGTTGTTCTAATCAACTTTTTTCAGAGACTGGAAAGCCCTCTTGGGCTTGGGCCCCATCCTTCCCCCAGTTCAGTCTTAGATGTTTCCAGCAGACCTCTTGGGCGGAGCAGCCAGGAAGAACTGATGACTGAACTATGTTCAGTCTAAAATTTCCCTTTGCTTTTCTGGAAAAATACAACATCCAAGATGGAGCCCAGCATCCGGGGACATGGTCATGTGTCTCTGCAAGATCCCTTTCTCCATACTTCAGGGGCTGACCCAAAGATCTGCAGAAAGGTTAAGCCCCACTGACTCTTGCTGATGGGCCATTAGCTCTGTGTCTGGCTTCTTTGTTGTTCCTGATGAGCTGATAATAGGCTTTTCCCAACATGAACACTTTGATAATAAATCCACAGTCAGTATTCCCACCTTCAGTGATACATGCATACGAATAGATTCATCATATTCAGAAGCTTACACCCTTTCCAGTGATATCGCACATAAAGCATATTCCAGTTATGTCATAGTCCTATTCATAAAGCTATTCCCATAAAGAATATGGCATGTCCCATCATATAGCTCTTAACAAAAAGTTAAAATATTTTGGACCCATCAGTTTTAAAATCTGGGGCAGGTATTTCAGTGTGTCAGAGCTCATTTTAAGAGATCCAAAATCATATTCACTATATACGATAAATAGATCCGTACCCACTCATGCATACCTAAATCTTGCCAATTGTCTCTGCTTTCAGTGGGCTTTAACAGTTTAAGAAATTGCTATCACTTAATCACACGTTTTAACTGGGATTAACTGACAGCAAAATTACACTTTTTTAATACATTAATTGCATGCCTGTGGGTGGGGAGGGAAGCATGGTGGGGGCTGAAGCATCCTGCTTATAACACCAGGATGGGGGGCTGGAGCAGTCCTCTGCTTCCCCAACAGTGGGGGCGAGGGGAGGGCTGGAGTAGCCGGGGCTCTAGCCCCTCCCTGAACCCTGAGAGGGGTCGAAGGCCAGAACCCTTGACCACCCTATATTCTAAAGTATAGAAAAAACCCTAAAAAATCATTAAATTGTATTCTAATATTGTTTAATGGTACAATTAAAACTGTGATTGCAATTATTAATCTCTCAATTGTGGTTTATTTTGAATTGCTTGATAGCTCTAGAAACCGCTTTACATCAAAAAACAAGTTCTGTCTTACATTGTGTACATATTCATTATGGTCTCTCTTTTTGGTAGCTATGCAGAGCAGTTCTTTAAAACTGTTTCCAAGTTTTGAGCAAAAAGCAATGTTGTTAAAGCGTCAAGCTTTTGCTGTCTTTAGTGGAGAAATCGATCAGTATCACCTTTATCTTCCACTAATACAAGGTAAAAGTATATTTTTAAAACAGGCCATGTTTACATTTTTTTATATGAATAAATAAAATTAGCTATAAGAAATATTTGTTGCATTTCCTATTTCACTACCACGTTTTAATTTTTGCTAGGTTCAGGGGAGGAAAAAAGTTTTTAAAATATCTGATTTTTATCATAGTTTTTGATAAAGGGGTGAGAAGTTAATCCGGCTCCAAATTGTGATGTTTTGAGAGAATTTTCTGAAAAATGACATTTTCTCTGGAGTGAAAAAAGGGCCAGTCAAAACTGGATGAAATAATCAAAGTAAACTACATTTTTTTCCTGCATTTATAACTTACCAAAATTAGCTATACGTACATGAAAAATTTTAACCTTTTTAAAAAATGTGTTTCAGAACGACTGACTGAGAACCTCCGTATTGGACAGACTTCGGTAGTTGCTGCCCAGATGTTTCTCTTTTTCAGAGTTCTGCTACTAAGAATTTCTCCTCAGCATCTAACCTCACTGTGGCCAATCATGGTGACTGAACTGGTAAGTAATAATCCCTTAATGAATAAGATACCCACCTTTCCCTTCCTTCTGAACATACTCTATCTTTATTATGTATATGAACGATTTATGTGGTTTATGATTTTACATCTTAGTTTTTACTTAGATAATTTGGGGGGACTGTTTTGGTTGGGAAAAATAATTTTATTTTCCATTTGTTAATTTTGTTTTAGGTAGACAGTGTTTTAAGTGAAAAGTTAAAATAAAACTTGTCCTGTGTTACCTAATCGCACATGAAGCAGTCTTTTTTTTTTTTTTTAAATGCTTGGGCTGTGTATAAATTTAAACAGTTTACAACTTTCCAAAAGGAAAAATATGCTTTTTTAGTTACTTATTTACTTGTTTACTTACTGTTAAGATTCAGACGTTTATACAGCTGGAAGAAGACTTAGCTGAGGAGGATGAACCATCAAAGTAAGAATTCTTTGTCTCATATAAAACAGAAACAAATTGACAGAACATGTCCAAGAAACTTAAACCTTGCTCAGAACCTTGTAGGAAGAGCTGTGGTTGCTCTCACTCAGACTGGAATTTCTGAAAATCACAGTAGCATTTGCAACTTGCAAGCAAAGTTGCATATCAATGTCTGGCAGTAACCTACAGTAAATGCTGTCGTTAGGGCAGCTGATGAGCAATTGTTTTTAGAAATGGGCTACTTGCAGGGAAAAAATGGGTGAAGGGATTAATCTGTTTTTGATTATTTTACCATGTAGCTTTCTTTCTCTAAATGTTTAACTAATGTATAGTAAAATTGTACCTTTATAAATGACACTAATCCTGTTGAGCAGATAGAAATATTTAATGGTTTTTTTAGTAGTGCTTTTCTTCCTGGTAAATCACATAGGAGCAACAGCAAAGTAAGCAGACAGAAAGCTTCGAGTGATGGCAGTGGCCCCTTACTTTCAGACATACAACAGAATGAGCTGTCCTTGTATTTATCAGCTTGTAAGTTTCTGGACACAGCACTTTCTTTTCCTCCGGAGAAGATGCAGTTATTTCAAACGTAAGTCTCCTAGTTACTTTTATTTATTTATTTATAGCTCTACGGCAACTAGAACTGTAGGCAACTTACTTTTAGTGCACCATTTTAAAAATATGTAAATGTACTCTAAAGCTCTTATTTTCTTTCCCATACTTAATAAAACTCATCAGTTTTTTTTCCTTGTCTACAAGTTTTTACATAGATATGAGCATAACTTGCTAGATATCTGATAAATATTTAGCTATGAGATGTTGAGAAGATTTTGTTTCCAACACTGAGGGTGTCTAAACTACATCCCTTTTTTGATAAATGCCCCATTTCAAAAGATCCTGAGGAGTACAGGATCTTTCAAAATGGGGCATTTCTGTCGAAAATGCCCCATCTAAACTGCCAGCTTTTGTTTTTTTTGAAAGCCCCATTTTGAAAAAAGCGGCAGCTGCCATTATGCAAATGAAGCGTGGGATATTTAAATCCCGGCTTCATTTGTAATATTGACGTGCCTAATCTACATCCCTTTATCGAAAAAGGAATGTAGTTTAGAGACAGCCTGAGAGAATTCTTGGGAGAGAGGAACAGTCTGTTTCATTTTCACTTGTATCTATATGGGGATGTTCTCCATCCTTTCAATATCTAAACAGAGTGACCATAAAATACAGCTCTTGTAACAAAGCATGGGAGAGGATGGTCAGAAAAACTATCAAAACAGGATTAGAAAAACTTAGTGCTGTTTGTCACTTTTTTTAATTCTAAGAAAGGGATTTGAATGATTTCTGACCTGTACAATACGTTGGTTTCAGGTACAGATGGGCCTTTGTTCCAGAAGTGGACACAGAGACTTGTACCATGACCTCTCATATAATGGAGAATCATCAGGAATGTACACCGCATATCCTTAGAATCATGGACTTGTTAAAGCTGAAATATGGGGTAAAGAAAACACTTCCTTAGATACATATTGTCTGTTGTTAAATCTTATAACGTTAAAGTCAGCTGGGCAGTAAGTTTCTGTTTCCATATTAAAAGGCTGTTTGGCTTTAAAATCGATCTATCTTGACAGTACTCTTACTATATTACATTTAGATTATTTTTAAGCTGCAGCAAGGATCAGTTGATAAGTTCAGGTTATTCACTATAGACAGATCTGTCTATCATACAAGTAATATCTCCTGGCAAGGGTCAGACTGGGGAAAAAAATCACTGTAGTATCGCAAAATGAAAAACTAATCACAGGAGATTAGGCATGCCTTCATAATACGAGTTCAGATTTAATATCTGATGTCAAATAAACAAACTCAGTTGAAGTTTTATTTAAATAAGGAAATCAATCTATACATTATACAGAAATGAAAACATACATATCAGTCTGCAACTGGAGAAGTGTGGCAGCTCATTTCACTTCAAACTCAGTCCCTGAAGTTTACCCCATAGACTGGTTTAGATCAAAGAAAATCCTTCAAAATTTTTATTTTCTAGGGTCAGGTATTAATTTGTATATTCTGAACTTTTAGTTATATTTATTATTACTGACCCAATTTGTGACTATAATTTGTTCTTTAAAATTTAGACATAAATCAATATATTAGTGGTTTGCTGTTACATTGATTGTCGCACTTATCACAAATGTTCCCTGTCCAAGCAGAATGGATAACTAAATACAGTTGCTTGTATCAATTACAGACATTCATTGGTTTAAACACAGAGATATTTGGCCAAAGAGTCATGAGTTTTATACAAAAGAATAATACAGTATTAACATTCACAAGGAGCAGCAGCATCAAGATCTTATATGATATGATCAAAAATTGAGTAGTTGATGAGAATATTGTCATTTTAAAATTGTAGGCGTCACCATCAGAAATCCATGGAGATGAATGAGGTTATTCATGATTCTCAGAGCCACTGTTTCTTCTTGTCTGCAAAATCCTGCATACACTAACCATCGGTTTCTGTCTAGTTCTCACTTGATAGCTGATGTAGCTTTGCAAGCATAAAGGCATTCTTTTTAATGGAGGCTGAAATTCTGGAGTATGGAATGAATTCTAGAGAGAGATACCAATTTGCTATATTACTGCAAATCTGTTCATGTCACTCCTGGACATAAGAGAAACTGCAGCTATTCAGGTTTTCTGATTGGATATTGGAGTACCATTTCTCCATGTATACCATGCACTGTGAACTGATAACTTAAAAAAAAATTGAATTCTTATAGTACAGGAGATAATACATATTTAAACCTAACCATCTTAAATGAGACTAAAATGTAATCTCAAATACACAATTGTCATACATATATTTTAAACTAATTTATCACTAGGGTCTTACCAGATTCACAGTATGAAAAACTCATCACAGACACTGAAATCTGGTGTTCTCCCTTCCCCACCCCCATGAAATCTGGTCTATTGTGTGCTTTTACCCTATACTATACAGACTTCATGGGAGAGACTAGAATTTTTCAAATTGGAAGTCCTGACCCAAAAGGCGGCTAAGGATGGGGGTCCCAACATTTTGTTAGGGGGTGGGGGGATGCAGTATTGCCACCATTACTTCTGCACTGCCTTCAGAGCTAGGTGGCTACACAGAGGCAGCTGCTGACAGAGGGCCCAGTTGTGCAGGCAGCTGCTCAGAAATAGGCTGCCAATACTATCTCATCCCATGCCTTCAGAGCTCAGTGCAGCTCCGTGAATGAGCTAGATGTTCTTTGTGAAGTGCTAAATCAAATTCAGCCTGAACTTACACCTGTGCAACAACCCCTCCCATCCCCGAGAAAGGCAGCAGAGTTGTGAGAAATATATAGGCTAGATTTGGACTGCAGAATCTTATATCCTATACACAGAACCTTATTGTGGCAGGGAATCTCACACATTCAGTTAATTATGCTAAGCTCCATTATCCACTAATCTTCTCCAATACTACTCCATGCCAGACATCCAATATGTATGCAACCCCTTCACAGAAGCGGAGACCGGGATGGTTTGGAGCACTTGGGGGGGGGGGGGGGCACAGCAGGGATGTTAAATTGCGGATAACCATCTCATCGAGGATCAGAGGATGCTTGCTATCTGCAGAGCTGCAGTGGGGTTAGCTCCTGGGGCCGGCGCGAGCCAGGACTAAGCAAGGTCCCATGCTGCGTCTCTGCCTTTTAAACATAGCGAGAGCCAGGCACCTCTTACTACATTTAAAGGGCAAAGCTGCTGTGCCTCTGCCTCCCCTGCCCCTCCCCACTGCAGAGATGGTACTTGGCAGGGGGAGGGACTGGCTTTTAAGCAGGCAGAGGCAGGGTGGAGCAGCAGCAAGGCTTGAGAGAAGTGGTGGAATGGAGGCTGGGCGGAGCAGGGGCAGGAAGTGGCAAGGTGGGGTCTGGGGCAGGGGTGGTTGTCCTGTGCCTGAACACACACACCCCAGGGACAGCCCTGCCCAAAAGTGAAGATGCAAAGCTACTCACCCAGTCCTTTAGGCCCCTTTCAAGACCTATTTCTAATGTTTGCAGAACAGCACTCACTGACAGTGCCTAAGCAGTTGACCATAATACGCGTTGTTACTCTCACTTTTTAAAGTTAAAATTCCACTTTAAAATCCAGATAACTGCTATACAGATTCATCTTGTGATGCTAGAAATGCCTGGTTTAGCTTGCTGAAGATCTCGCATTGATTGAAAAATAGTATTTTGCGCAGATCTCAACCAAGTTATGTCATAGAATAAACCAGCTTTCTGCGTAATACTCAATAAATCTTCTGGTTTGTATGCTTGTTTGCAGGAAACAATCGTGAATGAGAGAACTTCAGAGAAATGTGAATACCCTCTTTTGAACCTTCGTTCTATAGCCAGCATCACACAGTTAATACCCTTCTTCAGGACTCTGAGCTGTGCTTTTAAGTCTCAAGGTAACAGATCTCAAAATGCACAGAGTTCAGCATCTCTCTCAGTGGACGGTCCTGTTGGCAACAGTGTAAGGATCATGAAACAGCTAGAAGAAAGTGTTCAATGTGACTTTTTGGAAAATCTGGAAACTTAAGACAATTAAAGGACAATTCATTTATGTTGGTATAAATAGTGAAACCAAGCTACCAACCTCATTGTCAGAGAGATTTATTAATGATTTTTGTAACTTTTTCTATCACACCCCCGGCTTTGAAATGGCAGTTCAGCTGCTTTTGGCATTTCTGGGTTTGTTTGGAGGTTTTTTTTGTTTGTTTTTGATATTGGTATTGGTATAAAGCACACCTCCCTGAATCTTGTTTCTTCCTTTGGATTGAATTATGAAGACTTTTGCTCAGCTTCTGTGGAAGAAAAAGATAACATAACTTAGTACCAGTGAAAAGTTGTTATATTCTTCTTCATAATGGAAACCTTTATAAAAAGCTTTCAGTCCTATTCAAATAGAAATATTTTGGCTAATTAAGGCAGGGAACAAATTTATGAATTAAAAAATTGGAAAACTAATACTTTTATCTGACTTAGACAACCTTTCTTCTAAAAGTAAAAAAAACTAATGTAACTTTCCAAAAACTGCATGTCCATGTTCAGCTTGCATTTATAGATGCTTTTATGAAGCTGTTTAAATGCTTCTTATAGAGCTTTTTCCTTAACAATTGCCCAAACTTATTTATCTACTAAACTTCTACAGAAGTAAACTAAATTACCAACAGGTGTATTTTATCAGCTTTAACATGATGTAAGTAATGTGCAGATCTACTGCATTTGAAATCTCAAATCTGTATAGTAATACATTCTGCAAGGTCAGTGATTATTTAATTTAGAAGACAGACCATTTATTGTAGCATTTACAGTAGCATTTATTGTAATGTCTATAGCAAAATTAAATTATTCCCATAATTCATAAATGGTCACTTTTCTAAAATGAGAACTTTGTTCAGAAATTATTCCTTCATGGACTAAAATCACCTTACTGCTTTAAAATGGTGATTTAATTAAGGTAGTTCTGTAAAAATGTAAACTATTGTATATAAGAATCTTACAGAGCTTGATGTGTACGTACATTAGGTCCTTCATAGAGACAACACTTTCAGAGGTGATCAAAAGCAAAACCTTTTTTCAAATTTTGAAGACTCTTTGTACAGGTAAATAAATGTTTTTGCAGCTGTAGGTGGTACAAGAGATAGGAGAAGGTAGTTCATGGGGTTGTGACAGAGGTTCAGGAGAACCTCTGAATTCTGGTGGCAAAGCAGTTCAGATGGATTTTAGCAGAAAGGAATTGACTGGCTTGTCCTCCCACCACACGGTAAGGCTATAAATGTCTGCACTACCTAAGATGCAGTGTGTTTGATCATAGCTTCATGGTGACCATCCTGGCAGTTACCTGCTAGAGGAGGATTACAAGATTTGTTTTAATTGAGAAAGCAAACTTTACTGAATTTTCAAACTGCCTGTTAATCCAATGAAGTGTAAAATCATTAAGAACAACAAATAAGATAATAAATGTATATAGATTGAATTATTTTGGGGCATTTGACATTTTTCATGTTTGTCAGAGAAAAGAGCTTTATTTTTTGTGTTTTAGTGCTGTCATCTCTAAAGAGACTTGGTTTTGTGCAGTACTAGTGATCAACTGCTCAACGCTACTAGTGTTAACTGGAAACTTCAATGCCAAGCTAGACAAGTGAAGATTTTTTTTTTTTATTTCAAACATACTGTTGCACTTTTCTATGTAAAAATGTTTCAGTAAAATGTAAAGGCATTGGACAATGCAGACATACTTTTTTGAGATTTACAGAGAAACACAGGAGTCTACATGGAAGTCAACAAAAATATCAAAGTAAACTTAAGTTTTTCATCTATTTTGGTACAAAATAAAATGGTAAAACATACACAACATGCTTTAGTGTAATTGTACTATACCATTGACCAATTAATAGTTATTTACTCATAGTCCTATGTCAAATTAAATAATTTGTAAACTTTGGTATAATTAAGTCAACTAGTAAAAATAAAATTAAGTTTAGTATTGCTTGCTCATTATGAATGTGAATTATCAGACTTAGAACATAAGAATGGCCATACTGGTTCAGACCAAACGTTCCCTCTAGCCCAGTGTCCTGTCTGCCCACCAGTGACCAGTACCAGGTGCCCCAGAGGGAATGAACAGATCAGACAATCAAGTGATCCCTCCGCTGTCACCCATTCCCAGCTTCTGACAAACAGGCTAGGCGCACCATTCCTGCCCATCTTGGCTAATAGCTTTTTTTTTTTCCCCCCTTTTAATGTAGCTTATTGACAAATTAGATCTGTGGAAGCTGTTGGCCTAATCACAGGAACAAATTTGTAGTACAGTGGTGGCAACCTGTGGCCCGAGGGCTGCATCTGGCCTGTTGGGGTGCTATGTGTAGCCCGCAAGACATTTTGTTACTGTTGCCCAGGCAGGATTGCCAGATTCCACAAGTTTCAATCAGTTGTTTTTTTCCTACTGGTATCACTAAAGTGACACACATGTAAAGCAAGGGCACGTGAAGTGAGGTACAGGCAGTCCCCGACTTACGCGGATCCGACTTATGTGAGCAAAGCAGCAGGGGGTGCCTCGCCTCTGAGGCTTTGCTCTGGCGCTGGACCGCTTTGCTCCTGGTGCCCCTGGTTTGCTGGAGACGGTCCCCAGCAGACCAGGGGCACCGCGAGCAAACCCGCAGCCGTGGTGGGGTCCCGCGCTTCTGAAGATTTGCTCTGGCAGACCGTCTCCAGCAGACCAGGGACACCACGAGCAAAGCGGGTCCCGCGCCAGAGCAAAGCCTCAGACCCCCCCCCCCCTTTCCTCTGTGTATTTCTCCCCACCAACACTCTGTATTCTTTTCTAGCAATACCTGAAATTCATTAGGTAATGTAAGGAAGCAAGATCCTGCACTCAAAATGCTCGTATCTCACACGCACACACACACACGGAAAAGGGAAGGGAAAAGGGAACTACAAGTGAAGAAAGCCAACAGGAAATTGAGCAATTCTGTAAACCAGACTCAGCCGAAGTTTAAACTCTACACAATTTTTTATAATTAAGATATACAGGCTTTTCCAAATTATCCTGATGTAATCTGTTGGCAAGCAGAGGTTGCACATTTAGACTGAGGTTTTCAAGAAAAAAAAATGTGGACATTTTGAAGACAGACTGGACAGAGCACCTGAAAATACACCATAAGTTTTATTCATACACTGACATAGAAATGAAGGGTCTGCCTTATATGGGCAGACTGTTCTTTAAAAGATGAGAAAGGGACAATTTTATTCAAGCACATATAAAGAAAACAAACTACAGGCAGTCCCCGGGTTACGTACAAGATAGGGACTGTAGGTTTGTTCTTAAGTTGAATCTGTATGTAAGTCAGAACTGGCGGTCAGTTTCAGCAGCGGCTAAATCTGGACGCCAGTTCCGACTTACATACAGATTCAACTTAAGAACAAACCTACAGTCCCTATCTTGTACGTAACCCGGGGACTGCCTGTACATGGTGCTTGTACGAAACTTTGACTGTGAAAGCTGTACACTCCCTCTGCATCCAATCAAAGTGCTATCTCTTCTCAAGCATAAATCGCTATCCGACTGGAGCAGAACATTTATTAAAGTAGGTATGTTACTTATAAAATGTTTTTGTTCAACGTAATAAGCGAATAAGACTCTACTCAGGGCTTTTGGAGGCAGCCTTTGTTTTCAGTTAGTGATTTCCCCTTCTACCTAACCCAGGTGAACTGCTTATATCAAGGGGAGCTGTCCAGGGTGGTTCACCACCAGATCTCTCTCATTCCTGGTCCTCAACTCAGTTACAGATCTAAACAGTGTGTCCTCCCACAGCTGCCAGCACAGCTTCCTTTTGTACTTTTGAGACCAGCATTACCTATGTGCTGGACAAGTGTCTTTGGATTTTTCCTTTTTCTGTGGTTCTCCTTTTTGCTGTGAGATAGTAGACTGCCCAAGCTTCAAATGTCCTAAGTATCAGCATTCTGTTACTTTCTAACAGGTTTCCCCACATAGCAGCCAAATAGCATTAGACATTACACCGCACCCTATAGGTGTTCTCTCATACTTGATTTTTGATGACCACCTTGTAAAGACCAGATCCCTTGGCATAGCACTTAGCTCTAAATCTCCCCATCTGCTACATGGCATTCTGTTTGTTTTCGTGGTTCTAAGGACCTCTAGAGGAGTGTCTGGAGGTCACAGACCCATAGGTGCAGAATGGCTGGTTGCACTACAGCAGCAACTGACTTTTAAGAAAAAAATATTAAATTTTAAGCGTCTAAGGCAGGGGTGGGCAATAATTTTTGACAGGAAGCCACTTCTGAAATTTTTGAAGTGGCCCCAGGCTGCCCTAGAAAGGGTGGAGGGGAAGAAGCGGGGCCAGGACACTTCCGTGCTTCCCCACCCACAGACCCTGATTGGACTGTGCGTAGGGGAGCATGTGAAGTCTTTGCCCCCCTTCCCCCCTCCCCACGTCCTGAGAGAACCGCCAGGTGTTCTGAACAGCTAGTGGTTCCCTCTAAGCGCCTGCACCCCTCATGTTGGGCGGAGACTGCATGCGCTTCTCCCTTCCCACCTAATGAGGGCCTGGGGGCAGGGGGAGCATGTGAAGTCTGCCCCCACCCTGCAACGCAATACCACACTTAGAGCCAGCTGAGCAGCAGCTGGCGGTCAACTTTAAGGGCCGAGCCTCTTTCAGGGCAGGAGGAGACTTTGCACACTCCTCCTGCCCCCAGGCCAATCAGGGTTTGGGGTGGGGAGAAGCATGCAAAGTCTCTTCCTGCCCTGCCCTGCCCTGTCATTCAAGGAGCATGTGATGCTTCTGAAGGAACAGAAGTTTGACACCACGTAGATTCAAGCACGAGGCCTTTTATTACATGCAGCTGATGAAGTGTCACTTCGCTTATTGGGCTCAGTGAGACTGGCAGACAATTGATTACAATAGATTATATAGGGTGCCAATGGGGGGAGAGAAGCAATGGGGTAGAAGCAGGGGCAGTTGAGGATTTTTGTGGGGCCCAGGGCAGCACAATTTCACGGGGGCCCCCCCTTTGACACAGTGCATGTGCGAGGCTTCTTGAAGCACGGAGCCTAGGGTGGCTGCCCCACTCACCCAGCCCTGCCCTATATCCGCCCCTGGGTAGAAGTGCCCGAGCCCCTGGATAGGTTCTAGCAGCATGGCAAAATGAGCACAATAAGCCAGTAGTCTAAAAGATTACATGAGTGCTCTCTGCCCATAGCTCAGGTTCACATGTTTGTTAATAAACAGCTGTTATTTCTCAGGTGTTTTCTTGTAGAAAGCAGGTTAACTCCTGATTTCAGGTCCTTAGAAATGACGGGTGGCACCTCCGAGACAGGTTTGCTCACAGGTATATTCCTGGATGGTCTTAAAGCAAAGAACAGTAAACAGTACACAGCAATGGCAATTCTGTATAGTTTATCAATGCACCCCCTTGAGCTTGGATTGGCGTCTGTGAGGGGAGGACACCGTCACTCATGCTATCTTATTAGCATGAATCCTGGGTGGTATAAGGGGAAGACGTATTATCTCTTCCTGAGCTGGGAAGCAGACTGCGAGGCCCCTCTTAATGAGTCATGTGCGTGTAACTCACTAGGACTACGGCTACATTGTAGCCTGATGAAGCACAGTGTGGAATATCACCACGCTTCATTTGCATAATTAATTAGCAGCCGCTTTTGCGCAAGAAGATCTTGCACAAAAAGGAGCTGTGTAGATGACTCCTTTTTGTGCACAAACCCCCTCTTGCACAAGAGCTGTTCTTCCTGAAAAAATGAGCCATCTACACAGCTCCTTTTGTGCAAAAGCCTCTGACACAAAAGCAATTGCTAATTAATTATGCAAATGAAGCGTGGTGATATTCCACACTGTGCTTCATTTGTATAAGCTTTTCTGGAAGAAGACTACAGTGTAGCTGTCGCCTATAAGCCCCAATCACCTGGAGTTATGCTGTTTTAGCTTGTTTTATGCCTCGTAAAACAAACAAGGTTGTTTCCTGCTTATCTCAACTTTTCTTTACCTGTGTATTGTCCATTGTTAGATCCCAGGCCTCAGACTAGACCTGTCCAGTTTGGGCGTATGTGAGAGATTAACAAAGACTGTGGTCAGAATCTTACATACGTATTACTAGGATCTTGGCCCTTCACTTCTAAGTACTGCACACTCCTTGCAGGACAGGGCCAGGGCAGGAGGAGACTTCGTGTGCTTCCCTCCCACCCCCAAACCCTGATTGGCCTGGGGGAGGGGGAACAATGAGACCCCTGCAGGCTGGATCAACCTGCTTGGTGGGCTGGATCCTGCCCATCTAGGCCCTTTTGCCCACCCCAATCTAAGGCCTATTTGTGACATTACCCAGGGGACAATCTGGACTGCTGCATGTCCATCTCCTCAATTCTTCAGTCTGGGGTGCCCTTTACACTGCTTTGCTGTGCAAGCCACCACTCTGGGCTTGCCCAAACAGCTTCCAGCATGTAAATTTCTCCTAGCTATTAAGATGAAGATACATGGTTTTAACCAGGTTAAAAATATTAAATAGTAGCAGAAATACCCAGCATCACCCGGGGAAAATATAGTAAAAGATGTGATAAATGAACTACGTCAATTACATTAACATAGCATATTTTATTGGAAATACTTTTCTCTTTAGATATTACTTTACGAAATTAACATAGCTAGTCATGTGCTTACAAAACGACAAATCCCATAGGGTATCTTTTCTCAATCCCCACAAATCAGGAAGGCCCATCTTCCCTTAAAGACTCTATGCAAACCAATGCCTGCAGCCTCTTTGCCAGAAGCCCTGAGAAATGGAGGGGATGTCTCCTGGGCTCTGCAACAGCAAATCACTGCTCCCCAGGTAGCCACTCCCTGAGTGCCTTCAGCTCCATGGGGCAACCTGAATGGACTTCTTGGTGGCAGCTGGACCAGTCGCATTGATCAGACAAAGCGAAAGACCTTCAGACAAGGTGCAATGAGTGATAT